CTCTCAGGGAGCGCGGTTTTTTCTGGGGTCTATCGAACGACAATGAACGCCTACTGGTAATTGGCAATGAATAAATCAGGTACGAATATGGATAGTGACACACAAAAACTTCACCGTGAGCCCATTGTTCCGTGCTTACAGGTCATGGAAAAGCTAGTAGCCGTGTAATAGTCGCTGCTGGCTAGAAAATGTGGTATGTAATACATCAAAAAGTGAGTAAAAGGCGAAATGAAGTTCCACAGGTGCAGTAGCGATGACAACACAGTAGTAATTAGAGGTGTCCCATCGTTCTTAGACCTTCAGCCATGAGCCCTGGAATCCGCACCAATAGAGGCACCTTGCACTAACTAGGGATGGTCGCCAGGTCGAATTGGCCCTTTTTAACAAGACGTATATCATTTGACGGGTTTTTGAACGCTGATTTCAAATCTGCCTTTGAAATTTGCAGAGCGATTCTCTGAACGGAATTATGAAGGCTTGTTCGAATGAAGGGCTACGCAGTCGAGCGCGGTTGCCAGCCAATTCGCATGAATATCCGCGAAGCGAAGGCAGCTTGGCGTAGGGCTGATGGTCTCGGTTCATAGGCGTGCCATGGAGGATATGCGTGTTCAGAGAGCAAAACAACCCCTGGGGACAGGTTTTTGCCAAATGTAAGGTTTTGACCAAACTTTGATGCGGCAGCATTTGATCGAATGATGGTCACCAGTAGTTCTAGGCCACTCTTCTTTGGACGGAACTTATGTCTACGTACTTACTATAAGTACTAAGTACTACAAAATATACGTACATGACAGTGCGCAAACCAATAGCAGTGCACATCGATGCCCGATTTTCCAGCTGTGTACCATAAAGGTGCTGGTAGACCTTCCCACCACATATCGTCCGACTCGTTCCCTCCAGCACCTGAATCACAAGCAAGATGGTTGTAAAATACCACATGAGATCACCGCCTTGAGTCAGAGGCACAACATATTCATTGTAATTCATCGCAAGGGCAGAGACATTGAACTGTTGTGCGCCATTCCATTTTGATTGCAAGATGACCATTCACTTTCCCCGCTCATGGGATCAACGGGCACCGCACATTCAAATGAATGTTTCGAATGCTTAATATTAGAGAGGGGAACTGCAGTTCTACTCAAAAGGTATAGAAAGACTTTGAATGGAAAAAATTGAGAAATCAAAGCCTAAAAAAAGTGTAGAAGATAAGTCGTTGAAATTGAAATCAATAAACATAGTAGTGAATCGCAAAATGAGGAAATCTGACTGGCTTCACTTCCTCTTTCGAGACTGAAATTTTTCAAAAGATTCTAACGAGTTGGAGTTCCAATTAGGGTACATCATCTTAATATGTGAAAGGGTGGTATCAGTACGATCCCCTAACTCCTTCTTCTGCTAGCCCCCAGTCCTATCGAATTCCTCAATTCCTCACCTTCCCAAAACTTCCCAACCGCAAGAAAAGCTGCTGCTGGGGACGTTGCCTCTAAGCTACTACTATCGGATTACTTACTAGTTTGAGAAATTGGAAGCTGGGAGTGTATTTTATTGTATTTTGATGAATTTTTCGTTAACTAAATGTATATATGATTATGATGAACAATGAATATATGAAGTAAGAACCTTAAATTCGGACACGTACCTTTGCCACGCTCAAAGCTTAAGCTTTGATTCTTTATCCCACATATAATCGGCAGTCATTCCATGGTTTTCAGTATATAAACCTGGAATAGAACAGATAAAGTGGCAAATTAAATTTCGATTTTTCTTGGTATTTGTTATTTAAAGTCTTATTTATAGATAATTCACTCCATGTGGCGCATTTTTGGGATTATGAGTTTTCTAGATGTGGTTATATGGTGTTTGTTTCTAGTATCATTTCTTATATTTCGAATATTTCATCTGGGATTGAGTCTGATAGGAGATGAAAGAATGCAAGACACAGAATAACGGAAAGATGATATTTAAATTTAATAAAACGAGCTTAATATTACAACGAACTAGCATTACTGACAGCATTGCATTCTAGGTTTATGCCGGGTGAGAGTTCCGGATATCACGGATTTCTTCACGCAAAATCATGCCATCTATCAACAGTGGGCAGCAGTCGACCCGAATAAGGCACCATAACGTTGCTATGATAGTCCACGTATTTTCCTACAGAATGAAAAAGCTATTCATTAATCAGGGCTAAAAAAAAAAAAAAACCCCCGGGGAAACTGACAGCGAAGAGGTGATGTAGTAGAATGTGGCGCCACTACCGTACAAGTGGCTTAGGGGTGGAATCTCGAAAGGAGCTCCGCTCAGCCCAACCACATCTTTTATCCCTCCAGAGTTTCAGAGTTTTAAGGGACCAGTTTGATGGTTCCAGGTTCATCTTAAAGGGCTGCGGCAGCGCAGTGATGTCCATCCAATAAGAACTGATTTAAATTTGATTGAGGAGAGTTCAGAAAGAGGCCCTGACTTGCCTATGAAGAGAAAAGAGTTCATATGACTACGAAAATTTTTTTAGCTGAGTTATGGTTGCCTGGAGGAGGAGTAGAGATCCTGCTGAGCCATTTTTTTGCCCATGCCATGTCAATACCTAAGAGCTGCGGGTAAAGCGAAAGCTATAGTTGATATCGACGCAACCAGCCGGAGTCCGTCACCGGTTTTCACCAAAAACTTCACAACCTCCAAAGTTGAAGAGATCAAGCCGGTGTTCATCATCGTGCCCTAGCCTCGGACCTAAATCTAGAAATCGAAGTAATCGCTAGTAAATGTTCATAGCCAGGTATATCGCAACCTCATGCCGTCATTATATGTAGGACCCCGAACGAGAAAGTTTCTAGGCAACAGAGGTGTTTGTCTGATGGCGCAATTGACCAGAGCTGCATTTTGAGCACCGCTTATGCTTTGCCCCCATTTATTCCACTTATCGTCGTTTTTTTGTGCAGATTTGTAAAGACTCATCAATTTTCACGCGGATTTTGCTAACCTACAGGCGATATATGTGCTTTACACTGAAGCTGTAGAGCATAAATTTCTTGGCGCGGATTATCTCCCTCTGGGATCAGCAAGTAATTGCCCTGATTTCCAAGTCGTGAGTCAGTTGGACGGGCATCCAGCTTACGAAAGCAAAGGCCATATTCACTAGGAGACCTTAATAAGATCCCCACATGGACACTAGTACAGAAGTCGTGGGCTAATGCCGCCCGGCTACATCCATTGACTCCGCCGGGCGCATGGAGAAAGATAAACCTTAGTTTCGTTCGCTACAAGTGACGGGGCGAGTCAGTGAGGCTAGGTTTGGAGCACCACCAGCTCGTTCTCCACCACTTGTTGAAGCGGGTAACCGACAACAATTTATGGAAAACCACTGATAAAAATGATGTGGTACAGTCATGCCGTTTGTGGAAGAATGAAAAAGAAAAGAAACTAGCTGGTGCCGCGCCAAGCCCCTCCCCGTGCCAGCTCCGCAACCGACGAGTATGTGCCCTTTTTGCAGCTCGAAAGTGAGGAGGAGTAGCAGCGCTACTTACCACTTCTCCACCTCCGACCTGGTGAAAGATCGGCAATCAAATATCAAAACAGTATTCCTAGCGAAAACCCCTCGAAACATCCCTCATGACGGAGGGGATCGCAGTAAAGAATCAGATGTACACCAAATGTCTGCCGCGATATAAAGGATGATTCTATGAGACTCTTCAATCATACTCGAGAACTTGTTATTCATTTTTTGACGTTTCTATTTATAAGATGATATATATCTAAGCCTTTTTTTCATCATCTTGATTACAACTATGACAAATTACATGAGCCACGGAGATCTGAAGAGAATGGCAGCTGTAAGGTGGTATAATGTAGGACATTTTCACGGGGATGTCGTAGCGGCACTGATATGGTGTCCCTGATCTATGTATAGGGCTAATGCGTGCTGTAACAAATGTGCCCGCTTATTTCACGCCTTCCGTTTTTTTCCTAGGACACTAATGAAAGGAGTTGGAATCACGGTGAAAGGCAGCACTGACGTGCTCTGCGAAAATTGTGACATCGAGAAACAGCAGTTTAAAGTAAACGGGCCTGATAAAAAGGACCAGGAAAAGAAATCTGGAAAAAAAGAGGAGAGATACGGGAGAGCCCGCAAAATCAGAGAGAGGCACTTGAAGGACTCCTCGTGCAACACTGAAATTATCATTATGCGAATAAAATTGCTGTACTTGCAATCGGTTCAAACACCCGCACCTCGTTCTTCCTTCAGGCATAAGCAAAGATCCTCCTCATCTCGATTACAGTATTTTTAATTTCGCGTAAGGGGGGGGGGTCAAAACCCATGGTTGGCATCGGTGAGAGTTTGCACATATATAACGGCTCATGTAGACATGTAGACTAATTTTACTCTAAGACTTAAGTAAAAAGTAAATGTTGAGCAGAAAGACACCACTGAACGAAACAGGATCTTTTCGAAACGTTTTGAGAAAATTACCCGTTGCAAGGCTAAGCCAGTTGGGCCAACTGTGAGTTGGAAATGTTGATCGGAGATATTCAGCTTGTACACCATTTGCAATGAGGTGTTGCATTCCTGCAAAGATGTGTAATCATTTACTGCACCATAGGAGAACAAAGCTATATTTCCATGTAATATCATATAAAATCGCCTTTAGCCCTGGAAAAAAATTATATGAACTGGGAAAATGGCGTTAAGCATGCGAGGGAAATTCTCAAGCAGATTCAGCGCAGCAGTCCTGGAGCCTCTGAGTTCGACCGGATTCTCACTCAGAAGGTCGCGTGGTTTTCACGATATGATCAGCTGACAAGGAATGCAGTAAGTGCAGTTGCACGTCATCAAAAATATCACTTCTTTTAGCACTTCGAATTTCAGCACTGTGAACATCGAGGGATACCGCCCCATTGAATATTGAAAGGCTAAGCAAATAACCAATCTGAAGTTTTCACCCCAAAGCAAGTAAAAAAGCAGGTTTCAATGAGACAAACTGCAAGGTATTGCGCTCCATTGCGAAACCGCGACGCAGGTGACATTGAAATTAGCGACTGCGGATTTCAGTTTAGTTAACTGGTTGAGGAAGTTATTTTCTTACCAGTTGAGTGTCATAGATAATCAGCATTACAATTATAATAGTCATGGAGTAGTCATTAGAATGAAATTCTAGTTTTAATTGCGCTTAGAGGCATATTTTCAACAGCAAGTGTCGTTTCAAATTGCTGTTGCGGCAGAAGACGTTTTTCCCTGTCTGTTGGCGCTTCGTTGACGGGCAAGCTGTCACAGAATTCATTCAGTTTTATTGAGTTTTACTACGTTACTAGCTATTTTACAGCTTAGCCTCCTAATTTACCGGTATGTTTACTAGAGCTCACTGGAACTATTGGAAAAGCGTAATGATCCGATTACTAGATATTACTCGATATCATTCTATCGGTACACCGAATTTTTCGTGGGTATTACATATAATGATCTGCTTTTTTTTTAGCTCTTATTTTCCTGCGCAAGAACACCATTATTACAAAGATGCTGAGCTCCGGAGAAGACGTTCAACCTCAGACGAAGCTACAGCACATTGCTGGAAGGGTGGAGTACCTAAATACAACCCTTGAATATCCGATGAACGAGAGCGGGCAGGACTCCGATTCAACTACCAGAAGTAGAAAACTTCGACGGCGAGAGCTCATATGGGACCCCGTTGAGCACTACTCAGGAAAGAGGCCGTATTAGGGTTGCTGAGTGGGCCTCGCAACCGTAATACGGCCAATGGGAGGAGTAGAGAGTTCTCGGGAAGTCTTGGTACAGTCGCCTACCGTCCTCCCCCCCCCCCTCTTCGACCGCCCTTACACCCGAACGCGCGGCAGTGCATAACAGTCAACCAAACTTGTCGGGGAGCTTTTGTCTTTTCATCCTAAATTTCAAAAATTTCAATATCAGCAGCACTTTTGGCGCATTCATAGCCAAGCTCCTGCTAACAAGGTGCTAAGTGGAGTAGATGAAGGTCTCTCTATTGCCTATTGCCAAGAAAATGCTTTGTTGGCTCTTCACTCTACGTATACTCTCTTTGGCATGCGGTTACAATCAGGGCACAGCATCGTTGTGTGAAACACATAGGGGGGGGGTCGTACTTTTCCGCTGGGGAGGGGGTCGTATTTGGTCGTTGGGAGAGAGGGGGTCGTATGTGCCTTTAAGAGCAATTTGCTGCGTTGGGAAAAAATTTTTCCTGGTTGTTGACTTTTCGCATGACACGTCACGATGCTGTACCCTTGTTATGAATGTGGGCTATAAACCAGTCTAGAATGGTGACTCAGATCAGTTAGTGACCACTACTGTGAGCAGAACTATTTGAGAAGCAGGAAGTTATTGAGAAGAGATAGGCGTGCTGGAGGGTATTTTCGTATTTTCCAGTGCTTCTCACAGTAGTGAAAGCTTTTTCAGAGCGACTGGACTCTATTTGAATGGAGCACGAGAAGGTCCTTCGGATGCAGCGTGTTGTTCATTTTTCTATTGGGCCACGGGAAGGGTTTCCTTGAGCAGCCATAGTAGTCATATATAAGAAAACGCCGAAGATTCAAAACAATCCCAAACTCAGAAAGCAATGGCAGACCCTGGACTATCTGGAATTGACCTTTTTCTGAAATGAAAGAGGCTACAAAAACGGCTCAGATTCGCGCTACGTTAGCTTCGATCTAAGCCTCAGTCCTATATCTAAAGTGAAAATCGAGACGGGATTAGACCTGCACAAAAATTAGCGGGAGGGTTCAATCGACAATTTGGCAAATTAAATCTCCCCATAAGCGGTTTTCATGGAAGAAAAGAGGCGTCAAAGTTTCAAAGCTGAAAAAAAGTTGCGTTTCAAGTTCGCAACAGAGCGCGATGTTGTGAATGCCTAACAAGATATTTTTAAAAACATCGATATTTCAAAGAACCACCAGATCAGCTGGAAACATACCAAATTTCGTTTCCGATTTAGAATCGTTCATTAGACTTGCACCATAGCCATCGATCAATAGTACAATAATATTCTGGCCAATAGGATCCTTTGCAAGCGTGGTCCCAACCAGAAATAGGGCGCATATGGTTGGGAACATCCTTCAATACAATGTTATTTCTCTCTTGTAAAAAAGAAAATAGGTGGAAAAATTGAAAGCAACGTGCAATGCAAGGAGAAGAAACGTGCGAGAGAGTCGTGAGAACACGAGAAGTTCCGGGGAAAAGCCGGAGAGGGGGGGGGAATAATATTGCAGAAAAGCAATTAGTATATAGGAGATTTGGTGATTTAGGTGAGCTGGAAGGAGCACATGAATTATAAATTCATTTTGATTAGGTTTTAGTGTGAAATTCGGCGCCGAACATCAGTTTCAAGGAGTATTCTTGGTCCCGGAAATTTACAAATTAACGTTCAAACGGCGAGGAAACAGAGGGCGACTTGAACGACGTGTGAGTACGCAAATTGTGTAATAGCTGACAGCTTGAATGCGCCACCCATTGTTTTATATAAATCGCTCAGACACTACACAGCATTTGTCCAATGAGTTGCGTAAAGACAGTCGTGTTTCCACGCTCCATTTCCTCCATTTTAATCTGGTCATCCTGCTCCATGAAAAGCGGGTTTCAAAATGGTGAGGTTGAGATTTTTGGGATAACGGATCGGTGTAAAAGCAGAGCAACAACAGGTGCGAAGGTGGAGACGATGAAATCCACCACCAACGGCGCTGGTTGTTGCCAGTTCCGCATGAAGAACGACCGAAAGAAACAATGAACGTGCAGGACAGAAAACATGGTAGGATTGGGCCAAGGGTTCGTCCACACAGTAGTAATGTGGGAAGCAAACGGCGGACCATGGGAGACAAAAGGGCCAAATGGCACCTACTAGTGTGATGCGTGGTCGTCCGTCGGGTGACAAGCATTGGGTCCCTCTCATGACTCACAACTCCTCTGACGCAGGAATATCACTTTCACATCACTTTTTTGAATAAGAAAATAGCAAATGCCAAAAATAAATGCTAACAAATGGCACGCATGTGTTTATAGCCAGTGAGCAAACAAATAAATAAGATTGATGTAGCAGATTTTAAGGAGAAATGAATCACTGGTGGAGAAAGAGGAACTGAGAAGAGCGAACGAGTCTGTCAAAAAAACCATGGACTAACTAGTAAAACGTTTGAATGTTTCGAATAAAACCTAAAATTTACTTATTTATTTGTACATGGGCTCTAGGTAGCTGTGGTGTGCGACCTTGAAGAGATCGGAATTCCCGTAAGGGTAGCGTTATGTCAGAGTCCCATACAGATTCTTGTGACCCAATGCTCGAGCTCTTGGCGAGATGGAACTAGCTCTTGGCGAGATGGCTCTTAAAGGGCTATATTGTGGGATGAAAAACACTACGACCACTAATCACATTTGTTTCCTAAAGATATTTTTGGATATCTAATCGGCTCCGCCCGAGCCAACCGAACCTTCTACCCACCGGGGACAGCGATTTGGTACCCAATTGGTCCGGTAAGATATAATTACTAACTTGTACATTGGCCTGTTAGTCATTGTATAGACCCGCATCGCATTCAATAAGCCGCTACGATTCTGAAGGGGAAATAGAATGCGTGGCGCATCCCAAAAGGGATTGATCAACGGCGAAGGTATCTTTTATCCTCTGAGTTTATTTAGGCTCATGCAGAAGTGCTCTTCATAATCCTGAGGAAACAAATTTAGATAAAGTGACGCGGATGGAAAGGAAAAAAAGCAATGAATATAAAAAAGGAAAGTGTACTGCGTAAGAAATCAAAAGGAGGTATCAAGGGCTGCGGCCCTCTTAAGGAAGGGAGTTTTTCCTTTTAAATAGGCGAATGTACCCTCAAAAAGTTCTGGTACTTGAATCGAAACACAATGGTGTATGACTACTGACGCCTGCTGATGACTAAACGCGCTTCGAGTTCAAAGTTCAAGTACGAAGGTTTGAATTTCTTGGAGTAGCTGTATGCGAGGATGAGGAGGAGGGGAGGGGGTAGAGGAGATGAAAAAGACTGTTTGAACTTCATATAGTTATATTCAAGGTGTTTACCGAATGGCTTGGCAAGCTGAATGAATGCAATCCAATCACAGAACCAGTTTTATACATGAATTTGGCAACTTTGTCCTCAAACCTCTGTGACATTCTCATTTTCGAATGTCTTCAATGTTCCAAATGTCCAAGTTCGTTTGCAGTCATGTCTGACAGGTAATTTTAGTGCTAGGTCAAAGGGAAATCCCCGTTTTTCTATCAAAATAAATGGATAAGAGGTTTGCATATGGACCACAAGGTTCAGGGTAATTCGATAGTGAAAAAAGTAGAAAAAACATTCCAACTGCCCTAGATTGAACTCCATTTCGATCCCAATCACTACGGGCCTACTTAACTAATCTCCAACACCACGTCCTCATCAGCCCAGCTGATTCCCTGACAAGATCTCTACGACCGTACGATTGACGATTTTTATGCTTTTTCGTGCTGTAGCTTCGTTTCACTGAAAGACGGGCCTTGGAGGCAAAATATGGAGGCGGAGTCAATGGAGAAAAGGAGGCGTCACTGAGCCTATATTAGGCTATACGTCCCTCCCTTGGAGTTTTTAGCCGCGAAACGGTACAAGGTTGCTCGTCGTGGACCACACCACCCTCCACGCCATATTTTCACCTTTTATACCTGATCACGGACCGTGCCTATAGTGATTACTTGCATAGAATTTTAGTGAAAAAAGTAGAAAGTTTTTGAATTCGACTCGCCATTATGGGGTGCTCCAGGCTTTTCACACTTGGTCAAAATTTTAATAGCATCTTGCAAGCAAAGAGGCTCACGGTGATTCGTGGGAACCAGCACTGCGTATTCATGGATTTTTTTCCTTCCAGATTAGCTCGCTATCCACCATGGCTCACCATTCCTTATCTAAAACACACTAGAGAGTCGTACTTGGCCTACTTGGCCACAGGAGAGAGGGGCTTGTATTCGGCCATATGAAATTTTATTTGATTGTTGGTTTCTCCTATTTCGAGCGAACTTTACACCTCCATTCAGACGCCGCCCACCTCCATGCAGACCTCCACGGCAGATCTTCGGAAAAGTTGAGCAAGATGACAGGTAGAATGGGTCGT